GACAGAATATTATAAATTTTTTTACGTTTAGGTATGTAAACCTAAATCTATTTAAAATTTTTAAAAAATTATTATATATCAAACTTTTTCTAACTTATACATGGTATTATTGCTATATGATTATTAACTAATTATTTTTAAGATAAAATTTTAAGAATAAACTGTGTTTATCAGCTAATTTTATTAGAATAAATCAGATTTATTTGACATATGTCAAAATCTAATTTGAAAAAAAATAATACGTGTCAAAATCTTGTTAAATGACTTGACACATGTCACGATCTTGTTAATTATTTCGTTTAATTATTACGTTTGACGTATCAAACTTTATATAATAAGAGTTGGGTTTACGTTTAATTTGAAAGAACCATGACCAAGTAACAACCGACCATAATCAAAAGAATATGGCCGACTAACTACCGACTCGCTCATAATTTAGAATCAGTGGATACATAAGATCATATATTCAATAAAAGTATATGTTGAATGTGAATATGTTGGTATTTGGATTGGTAAAAAGTACACAAACAAGATATCACTCTGCATATATGAAATTGTCGTAGAGCTCGAGTTGTTGTCTTTGTTTTAAACAGCTTGAGGCAGTAGTTCTGGCTCGAGGTCTCATTAGGCGATTTCGCAAAAATTCACAACGTTACCCTCGCTGAATAATGGAACAGACTACGAAATCGAAAAGGCAAATCTCAGAAGTCACATTGCTTGCTTTAGAGAGGAGCTTTTGCTCATAGCTGGTTTGATATCTGAGGATGTAATGACGACGTTTCCCATTTTAACTTCCATAGCTTCTTCCTCCTCATTCTCTCTCTTCTTTCTCTCTGTATCGAGCTTGTCTTCGGATTTTTGGTCTTTAAGCGTGAGTGAAGGTTCTAGAGCGCGAGGACCAGAGTTGATCCACGGATGTAAAAGACACTGAGCCGCGGTTGGTCGTTTCTCAGGGACAAAATCAAGAATCGGAACAAGAAAATCACTCAAGTCATTTGCATCTTGCTCACTGAACTCGTACTTCTCGATCAGGACTTTGTTCATGTCCYAGAAACGCAGTCTACTTATATGTCGAAGGTCACCATGCCTATTAAAGAAATCTCTGGAGTATCGCCCGCCTAATGCTATCTGCAAAACGCCGTAGATAAAKAATTAGAGTTTAGACAGCCTTGAATGGTTGAAATAGTTCAACAGTTTTGCTAATGATTCTATTACCTTGCGTGGCATCATTCCGAGAAGCTCCATCATCAAAGCCAAGTGATCCTGTTAGAAAAAAAGCGAATTAGCTTCGCTGCATAAATGTTAAATGCAACAGCCCATAGCTACATAAATGTTAGTGAAAAAAACTCAGGAAGCCAAATCAATCTTTATTTCTCAAAGAGAGGAGAACAACAAAGAATACTATCTGAGAATCGATAACCGAAAGCAAATAAGAAGAAAACCAAAACAATCTAGCGTTAGTTTTCGAGTCCCTAATCTCTCTAAAAGAGCAAAGGCTCCCAACTAACCAATTGGTCAAATACCTCTAATCTGTTCTCCCTCCAACTTATTTATACTACTGTGGCCTATCGGTTAAATTCCCCAACGTAACAGAAAGAAAATTGAAAAGMTCTGAAAGCTCATTTCCACACTATCTTCCCACCAAACAGGAGCAGAGAAAGCTAAAATCTGTAGACACCACGCAGCCAAAAAAAAAAAACATACTTAGGCATACCTCATCTCTATCATAATTGTCTCCACTATGGGGATCGAAAAGAACATCTCCAGTGGCGAGTTCGAAACAAATGCAAGCGAATGACCAAAGATCAGCTGATGTAGAGTACTTAGATCCAAGGATTACTTCTGGACACCTATACTGTCTCGTTTGAATGTCGCTTGTGAACTGTTTGTATGTCCAACATGCGTTACCAAAGTCAACAAGTTTACACTTGAGGTCAGCAGATGCCACAAGGTGCCTTCTACTCGATCGACTCCCTTTCTTACCGCTTTGCTTTCCTTTCTCGCTACCATCTAATCCATTTGTGGCAGAAGTAGAAGGACAATCTTCTTCTTTCGATTTTTCGGCACCACTCGGTTTTCCATTAACCAATGATCCCACTTCATGAACTTTGTCAGATTCAATAATGCYTTTTTTCTCAGCAATTCCCTGAGCCGAAAGCTTTACCTTTCTATGAACGTCTTTCTTTAATTTCTTGACAAAATCTCCATTGGAGTCAACTGTCTTATCCTTAGCACTGGGGAGAACAAGAGGAGCTCCTGACTTCCTGGGATCTTTCGAGGGATCAATCCTTGACGGTAACAAGACATTTTCAGGCTTGAGATCAGTATGTATGATCGAGAGCTGTTTATGCARATAGTCTAATCCAACCAACATATGATAACAAATCTCTTTAACCATCGGAATAGGCAAGCCACGGTAGTCAGAATACTTTATGAGCGTTAATAGATTATCGCCCAAGTACTCAAAAACCATACATACATGTTGCCCATTCGGTCCTGAGTGCTTGAAATGATCCAAAAGCTTCACAACACATTTGGTATCATCAGTGTCTCCCTCTGCAATCTGTTGCAATATGGTTATCTYATCCATTGCAGCTTCAGTATAATGCTGAGCACTCTTTTGCACCTTCAAAGCCACATATCTCTGCGAACTCACACAAACAAAGCAACCAAATCAATATCCAAAGCATTTCATATTAACTGCCCAAACATATTCTTAGATAACAATTTCCTTTTGTTCACTAGATGATTAAGAATCTCTACTTAGTTCCTAACCAACACAATGGGAACTAACATCATGTAAAGATTAGCTTCAAGAAATTCGTATGAAGATTGACGAGAGARAGAGGTACGTACAGAGCATTGAGTGTCCCAAGCGAGCCAGACAGTAGAGAAATGGCCCCAACCGAGTTTGCTCTGAACAACATACCGGCCGTTTTTGAAAGAGTCACCGATCCGAACGGCGTGGTAACCGCCGCGCCGGTAATCCTCCGTCCCTTCGTCCTCCGACGTGTACTCTCCACCGTCGCTACTCCACTTCTCCACCTCCATATTCACCGATCCAGACACAAAGGAGAAGAAACAAATCTCTATCTATATCAATCTCTCTACTCTTGGATAATCCGACGACGATTTCAAATCCAACTTTTTGGATCTCTCTTGTGTGATTTTGATTTTCTTCTTTCTAGAAGCTTGTGC